GAACGTTGGAAGCACTGTCTGACGCGTCTGCCTCCGCGACCCGAAAGGAGAAGCGGCGATGAAAGATGAAATGGAGAATTTGGGGTAATAGGTAACAAAGTTTCCTGACCCTTGCATTAGAGATCAAAAACATCCCACGTACAATGGACTATCAGTTTGCTGGTCTCATCTACGGTCAAGAAAATACCAATTCAGTACTGCTGTCTGCCGTAAGGAAGTTTGTGAACGATCAGTTCTACCCTTCATCGTCAGATGCTTATTGAATCCTGAACGTGAGTTTGCTCGATGTGTAAAAACTCATAGCTCAATTGTAATTTAGCCATTCATAACAGTAAATGTTTTTGCTGTTTCTTTGCATATTCTTTTGCTCTTCATGTACTTAACCCAGGGCAAGTTCTTGTGGTCCTATTGACCCATAGAAAATGGCGTTCATTTGAATCCACTATGTCGGCTTTGGACGCAACTCATGCACGGCGACTAGTGTATTTCTTGCCTGATGAATTGCCATGCTGATGAAGGATCAGCCTGCCGAACTGCCAAAACCTTGGTAGTAATTTAGCAATTTATAAATTTGGGCTTTTCTATAGTTTCAAACATTTTGTCTATCATCTTTCATTTTAGTTTATTTGCCGACCTTAACATGCGTGGAGCTTTACACTGGTCGAAAAAGTTTTGTATGCATCTTTACCCTGCTGTTGCTTGAGCGAATAGCTCTGATGCTAATTTTTCTCAATCCAGACTGCCTTGACATTAGGACTGAGGTGCGAAAAAGTTAACTCAGTAAACAACACTGAGAATCGTACATATTTTAGAAAAAGTACAATCACACAATCAAGAAAGGTCGAAAAGTGATGATGTTCGAAGTTCATCAGGACAAGTTACAGCAGGAAACGTGCATCAACCAGGCTGGTTCGAGTTAGGTTCTTGATGCCGCCTTTCTCCCTCAACTTCTTGACGATCATCACTACAAATGCAGTGACAGCCGCGGCTAAGACAACGTTTCGACTGAGATATTCTACATAACAAAACAAGCTCATTTCAAACGTGAACAGCGTGAACTCGTTGCCAAAGAAAAACAGCTTCGTAAACGCCTGTTCTGAATAATCTAAAAGTATCAACAGTTTTAGTTTCCTTCCATCGACGAACGCTCAGCGCATGCCTCACCTCTACAGAACAAGGTTGTGTGCGAAAAATCCTGAAACTCCATGCCCAACAGATTTTCAACGAAAAGTTTGTCCTTGACCACGTAATTCACATCAGCGAGATACTGTAATGAATAATGCAAAGTGAACAATACCAATCAGATTGTTAATTATCAATTAGTTACGTGATCAATGAAAGCGCATAAGAATTTGTTCATCTTCTCATAAACTTCGGCGTACACTTTGATCTTTTCTGTCATGTCTGGTCTACTGGGTACGCGGTCCGGCTGAAACATTCTTTTAAATCCAATCCCTGACTATCCTGACTATGAACAAAGAATACATTGGTTATCAGGCGGGAAATTCTGTCGTACTGTAGTCTGAACCGATCAGAGAGGTAAACCGTAAAGGACTGAACTTCAGAGTTTGGTTCCAAACCACGCTGCATGCACATATCTTCCTGTAGGTAACCGAATCAGCATTCGATTAAGCGTACAAAACAAAAGCATGCCTTCTCACGCTGCAATTTGTCGTTCATCTCCTTTATGTCGCAGTCTGCGTAACCATGTACCGACCGTCCGTGAAGATAAAATCCGTAGAGATGGTTCTGAAGGCCAAGCACGCTTATCTGAACATTAAATCAGTGCGTTGAATCCATACAGGTCATTTGCAGCATGCATCTCTTACGTTGCTTATCGAGCAGAGGTCAACAAAGTTGCGAATCTGGTCCCAGAAACACCGCTCAACCAAAAACGCTATGAACCAGTACTAAAGACGAATTTATCTAAACTTCTTTTGTGAAAACTTCCACACAGATATTTTTTAAATATTGCTTATATTATGGGATGTGTGATTAATCGTGATAGTTTTTAGCGGTTGACTTGCAAAGCCGTACCACTTGCAAGTTGCTCTAAGTTTCAAGCCACTCTCAATCCATTTAGAGAAGCCATATCGCTAAACTGTTTAAAAAACCGAGAGCAGTATTGGCGAATAACGAACAACAGCCGTCTCCCTTACTCATCTCGTCTCAGTGAGCAGGTGAGCAGCAGGAAAGCTTATGGACTTGCAAAATTATTCTCCAGGCACTCTATCGTGATTCGAGGTCATTTTCCTCACTTTAAATCTGCCATAGCTGAACAGAGAACAGGTTGTATCTACGCATTTTCAATAATGAGCAGTGTGCGTTGAGAAAACGGCCCGCCGCTTCGCCTCTGAGTAAAAGAACACCTTTCGAGTTCAATGGAATGACACAGTACTGATGTAAAGGAATGTAGACAGCGTTAAAAGCGGCGTGTGAGGAAACAAAATATTCCAATTACAATAAGAACAGAATATGAATAGTGGTGAAAGAAAGTCGCATCGTTCGTTGGGATAGAAGGAATGCAAAGGACACTTGAGGTGCTCCTTTCACATTCTTGCACATACCTGAAAAAGGCAATTAAAAAGACCTATCACCAGGCTGAAAGCAGACAACAAAGGAGCAATTAAAAGGCACCCATGCACACGAGCATTCAGATTTACCGTTTCGACCAAAAGTACGATTCAGCATCACGATGTACGTACGTAAATATCACAACAGCGGTACACCGTATTTGCCGGCACTGTTTTAAATTTTTTAAACCATTTATGTTATATGACCCCTGAAGATGGATTCAGCATAATCTAACTTGTCAGATAATTTATTGCTGGATGATTGGTAATAATTGGTGAATAATTTATATATCTGTGGAATAAACCATTTTAACTACGTGTGTGTGCGCACAACTCCAGTGAATTGGCTGAACTGGAAGAAACCTGAAGAGACATCGGTCACTGTTCACGAAGGTCAGCTCCACGAATAAACTGTCGAACAACTACTCGACAAATGGCGTTTAAGAAAAGAGCAAATTGGAAGAGCGTTAACTTTTGTGGTACGCCCATTATGACTGCATGTCGGCTCATGGATGAATATCCGAACCAAAACAACGATATCCATTTATGACCTGAGTTCAAAAATCAATTTGCATTGTGGGAAATAAATGATTTTACTCTTTGTTTATTATGCGTTGTGCATGATAGCTCATAACTGCTCCAAGACCAAATTTCACCTCTCCTAGTTTCCAACAGGAAATGGCATTTAAACAGACCCTGAAGCCATGGTGTTTTAGAATTTGCATCGTGAGGGGATCGTGCATCCTCTCTCATCCAGTTGTTTGCCAGGGCCATCAAATAGCGTTTCAAGTGCTGGTACTTATTATAAATTATCACATAAGCATCAAAATATGTCTGTCATACGTCACAGTACATCAGATCATATGCTGTGTTTAGGTGACGACTTTGCTCACCTGTGCCAGGCCGACAGTAGCGTACAGGCCAGAGCAAACTGCGTATCTGCTGATGACCGAATCTACTGCACTCGCTGCTGGTGCGGTGGTTCTGAACCCCGGTTCGATGACTGCTAGCGATTCGAAATGAAAAACCTGTGAAATCACCCACCGTTATCATCACCCAGCGATCACACTCGATACCGTTTACCTTGAGCAGCACACAAACGACGAACAACTGGAAAAAACAGCTTATTCTTCGGTAGGTCTGCAGTTCGTTCCATTCGTTGGCGACGATGTACGTTCGCCATATAGTCACAGGGTTGAACGTCTTCGAGCTCGCTGTTGCTGCAGAATCATCAGATCTGGAAACGATGACACCTCTCGGTCTTTCCCAGTCGATGAAAAATACCTCTGACGTGATTTGAGAGACAAGAAATCCAAACAGTTCGACACACTATGTAACAGCATAAACACCCGAAAATGACTGAAAGCTGAAGCTGAAAACAAGGCAACCGTACCTTGAAAACAAACATAACAGTTATCAGTGTTTCGAAAAGCTTTCCAACGTTTTCACAGGATAACATGTGGGCCGGAACACTTTGACCCTAAACAGAATATTCAAAAACCTACATTAATGGCCTGTTCATCATACGTTAACGATCATTGGTGTAACTTTACAACTGAGCCAATGATAGCCTTAACTCTTTCAAGTAACAGTAAGGCTCGTTCGAAATGAGCTAACTATACAGTTCTACAGCTGCTAATAACGAAACGAGCAAAACATGCTACGGTGAACTACGCTGAATTACCGTAACTAAGACGTAACAGTTCCATAGGGTAGGGTTTCTTATATTTCCTTATAACGAATAACGCTAACTATTACAGTATAGCCGGCAAATAAGCATATTGCCCATCCACAAGCATAAATTTT